GATTGTCTTGCTATTTAATGTAAGTAAATGATTCTTAATACATGTAATGCCTTTTGGTCCTATATAAATTCATTTTAGTTTTGGATTGAAAGTGTTGGTTTTCAAGATGAGAATCATTGCTCCATCAGTATAAACAAGTTCTCTTGACAGCATGTTTGAATTGACTGCATGTAGATTGTAAGTCATGTCGGCTTAACTGGAAAAAACGTCTTTTTCAAAAAAGATTTCAAAATGAATATAATAAAGTGGTAATTGAACTTTGTGTCGTGCAATTTTGGTCTGAAATCAAACCTGCAATTACAAATCGCACGTTTGATTTCAGACCAAATTGCACTCCACTCAGTTCAATTACCATTATTTATTACATCCTAAATTGCACGATTTTGAGCTCTAAATTGTACATTGCTCGATTTTGCACATCATCTGATATGAACCAATCACAAGAGCTCTAGACATGTCATTTTCTAGCCAATTAYATTAAGGAATCCATTTGAGTGTTGAGCTCGCCGCTCCTTGCGAAAAAAAGAGCCACGGCTCAAAAAAAAATTTCTGAAGAACGATTTTACCATAAAAAGTTGTAAAAAAAGACTTAAAAAGGACCAGCGAAAAGCAGTGGGGGAAAATGCAATCGGCATCTTTTGAATGTGACTTCTTGGCAATTGATCGTGGAAAGTGGTTTCCTTTTCAATCTTTAAAGCATAAAACACATCGAAAATACAGTCACTAAAAGAATGTTTTCTTAATAAGAAGAAAATTTTTGCTGAGCTACATGACTTCTTAAGGTGGCTGCCTACTTTTGAACGTTCGATTTGAGCCCACGATGTGCGYGCGCTCAAAAACCGCTGAAAAATCTACAAGATTTTATTGAAGAACCATTCGCGTTTTGAGCTTCAACAGGGCAAAACCCTCAAATTTTGCACGGGACTCTATATTTTTTGATAGCTCATTCGAAAAAACTCCTACAAATCTAGGTTATATCAACATTTTAGGAAAAGTTTAAATCAGGAACTCGTGAAAAAATAGATTTTTGTAGGGATTTTTGTTCGACTTTATGAGATTTTTTTAAGAGCACCGAAACTACAAAATATGACAAATCAATGTATCTCTTTGTCTTTTTGTCGAGAATAACCATGCATTATTGTAGAAGGATTGACTAGCCTTCATTCGTGCAATCATAGAGTCTGCAAATAACTATTATCTTATTAATCTTAATTTTTTTCTAATCACTTCAGGTGGYGCAATTTTTACTCCAAAAGCTTGTGCGTAGGCTTCCATTAAATGCTGATTATCTTGAAAACGAGCTCGGGACACCCTATTTTTCTTTCCAGGTTTGGAATCAGCAATAAATTTCAATTCGGAAAATCGAAGTTTTAAGAAAAGCTAAAATCAATTTCCAAAAGTAGGCGGTCACCTTAAGGACAACCCAAGGACTAAACAACCTTTAATTTTTGCTGTTTTCTCGGCACAAGTGTGGTCTTAACATGTTGAACAGAAAGCGTAAAATACAAGCAGTGAGCATTGGCTGTATGGACAACAGCCAGTTCATTACAACCCTTTTGGGCATGATTGTCTTGCTATTTAATGTAAGTAAATGATTCTTAATACATGTAATTACCATTATAATACTAATTTATTTTATTAATGATGAATGAAATGTAAAGCTAAACTTGGAACGTGTGAGTGTTTTCATCATTATTGTTGGTACTTTTACTGTATTTATTTTTTGTTTCACAGCTTTTTATAGGTTGTTCGAGTATATATTCTACAATTATTTTTGATATTTTTTTCCTGGTCTGCTGCCTGCAGTCTGCGTTTTTCGCACAATGGTTAAAAATGTAATGTTTCAATTAAATTTCCCTATTTCTAATGCTTTGAAAAATTTTGACTCAATAAATCTAAAACCAAACCAAACATCAATAATGCAAAATTACTTTGGTAAGATTTTTGTTATTMATAATGCTATAAACAAAATATTCGAAATTTACGAACAGTTTTGTGAGGTGAATACTTTAGATTTTAGTTTTTAGATGACGTCAAGTGAAAACCAAGAATTATCACTGTTAGTTTAAGTTAACCTCAAGTCTTCTTCTCAAATTATTATGAYCGGATATCTCAGAATAAAGTCAGGCACAAATTTCATGCAAGCCATTTAAATATACCATATATATATATATTTCCATATATTCATAAGAAAACTACTTTGGTAGTCAAGGCAGTCATTCAAGTGTTCATGTCACACCTCGTTGTACTGTCGCGTCACATTGTTTTTTATTTGAGATGTCTAGAGAGGCATATCACAGAATTAAAAGAAAAGTCCTCCATATAAGAGCGCAAAAGTGTTGTTTATTAACCGAATATTCTGAAGAAAGAGGAAACCATGAACTTCTGCTAAGTGATACCCGAAATTTTTAGGCATGGTTTTTGTACTGGCGTCACCAAGCTGAGCGATCTAAAACTGTTGTCTTTATAACAATAATGGGATAGATGCAAGAAATTTTCATGGCTGCAGAAAATCTATCAGAGGTTTTAGTGAATAGAGCTGAACGGCTTTCCAAAAATATTTGATTTTCGACCATTCAAGCTCTTTTTTATGTGTCTGAAAGGTTTCATCTGAAATCTAGACATGATAGACACAATGGTCTGAGTAATAATAAAGAAGGTCAGTAAGCTTATTTATCAGTATCAGTTCTGTTCTATTATTAACAGCAATTAGCTGAGAAATGGGGACTCTATTCTATTCTAGATTAAGGTTCTTAAGAAGAAGTCCTTTGAAGGCTTTTCTGTCTTTTGTTAATCTTCTGGCCTGATCTTTATCAATGTTTAATAGTTTTTCAACCTTTATCCATGGATCTCATGAACGCTGAATATTCACATCAGTTAATTTACGAGTGTGCATTTAATATGTTTGAGCTGCAAACTACACCTGATCCTTTCTTAGCAGAGTTTTTTCTATAAGTTCAATACAAATAAGAAGATTTTGTGGTTTTTGTTAATAAATGTTTTACCTATTTTAAACGAGGAGTGTTTACAATCTGTACTTGTTCAAAATTGAGGCACTTCCTACTTGAAAGTGAGATGATCGGCTTATATTTAAGTACAGTAGTCATTTATTTTAGTTGCTTCAAAGTAAGTTAAAAAGTGTTTTGGTTAAGTAGAACTGTAAGTGATTTGGTTGATGAGTAGAAGTTTTTTTGTAACTTTGGAAGCCGATTAAAAGTTGGCTACGAATATTTTACGAGTTGATCATGACAAACTGGATCTTTGTTTGATCGGRGTCGTACCTTGTAATAATTGCCGAAAACTAATCTAAAATGCCTTACAAATGTTTAATAAAGCCTTGCTACTGCTAAATAAGTTAATATGTGTTACTGGTTTGACAATTCCCTTAAGTAAAAAACTCCAGGCGACTTGACCATACATACAGTAAATAAGTAAATCCATACCTTTGGAGTTAAGAGATTTTGAAGATGACCTGGAATAAGCAGAACCTGTGCCAGACAAAACTGAGGACCTACAGATGAATAAGAATGTCATACAGTTATTTCAAAAATGATTGGAGAAGGTTTTGTTGCATTTTGCATATACCAAGATTGAAAATTGTGTAATATTTTATATTCTTCCCAGTAAATGACGACAGCACAGAAGAAAATATGCCAAAATAGAAATGTGCAGACAGGAAAAATGTCATATTTTGAGTTGTTTCACTGATTGCTTCACATCCCCCATAGTGCACTATTGGGCTTGGAATGCAAAAGGCAAAAAAACCTTAATAATTAACATTTTTTGAAATACATGTAGCTGTACATCACAGAATTTACTTAATTAATTAGTATTTCATTCTTACTAAAGTTTAGGGAATCAAGAGCTAGGTGGAGTAATGGTTCAATTCCTGTGAGTTTTGGAGACCTGTCAAATTATATAAGTAATTTGAATTCAACTACATTTAAGCACAATTTGGCCCTGAGTTCAAATCAAACATAGTGCTTGCCAAAGTCATATACAGCACCTGAAGGACCAGGGTGTTGTATGGCCTTATATATAACTCCCCAAAATTAACCAAGATATTTTTACAAATTTTCTTTTGTATATTGCTTACACTCAGTTTTTTGCTTCTGCAAGTAACCTACCACACTCCAGAAATTTACTAAGCTAAATGCTGGTAAAACATAATCTGCGTCACAAAGTCTACAGATGAGTCCTAAACTAATATCTGACAGAACTCAAAATATGTTCTCCTCTTATCATATTTTCACATATTTTTATAAGCTTAATGAACTCCATAACATGAGTCTGCCTAGTCGTCCATTTGGAAGGGAAAACATAACACTGAATTGCTATTACGGGAGGGGTGGGGGGGCAACACAGCACTAGTGCCCAGAGTTGAGGGGAACACATAACATGGGGGAACACAAAACATACTTACATTGCTTATATTAGGTCAGTAGCAGTCCCACGTGGTCACTAAAGAAACTTATTTTAAAATGTGTTTTTCATACACATGGGCAAGTAAAATTTGACAATATTGAGGAACAAACCTTGATCTAATGCTTGATGCTGAAGTTGGTCGCTTCTTAGATGTTGTTCGTGGGGCAAGTTCTCCTTCATCCCATGCCATTAAGGGAACTCTACCCTGTGATGCCAGTGCTCTGCTTGATTCAAAATCTTTTCTTTTTTGATGCAGAGCAACAGCAGACTTTGGTCTCTTAGATTTTGATATTTCCCCTGTTTGAGTAGCGATAGCATATGGAGAGACTGGGACATCTCTGTAGATGAAAAATATAAACTTCAACAATTGGCATGAATTACTTGCTATATAGTCTTATAATTCATTAACAATCATTCTAGATTTACCTTATTTCATTAAATTTTCGCGACACCTTAATTCGCGATTTAAAAAAAAAATCACGAAATTAGAGTGACGCGAAAACTACGTGTCGCGACCATAACATGACGCGAAAATTAAGTGTCTCACAAYATGTCAATAATCAAGAAAGGATACGTTTATTACCACTGAAACGTTTACAAAATCAGGCGTGAAATTCTTGTGGACATTGTGAGAACTTGTTGTAAATGTTGTCATATATACCCGCCGCATCGTAGATGAAGTCATTCTATTTGATTCAAGGATAAGTTCAGTAAAATAGTGCCTTATTTAAAAACGCGAAATTAAAATGATTCAAAATACAAAAAATTCCCAAAATCGCGAAATTTAAGTGTCGCGAAAAACGCGCACCGTAAAATCGCGAAATAAACGTGTCGCGAAAATTTCATGTAATAAGGTACGAACTCTTAAATGTCTAAGTGTATATTTACAAAATTAATGACACAAACCATGCCATGGCAACACAGACGGTCTTAACCCAAGAAGCAAAAGCTCATAAGTTATGAACGCTCTAAAAAAGTTCCACTCTCAAGTCGAAGGCCTTTCGTATCATAACATTAAGCTTATTACAATTTGAAGTTTATAAGAACTTACTTTGTTTGTTTTCTCGTTGGAGGGCTCTTTTCTATCTGATTCATGTACTGCGCAATCAATATGTCCTCATAACTTATAATATCACTCATTCCCCTTTGCATGGCAGTCAAAGGTCTCTGCTTTGATTGGGACGCCATGATATTTTGATGGATATACCTCTCGATCCCTCTTTTATCAATAGCCACAATATCTATTTCAGTTGTTATGGAATTCTTCCCCTGCAGCTACTGACTTGAAGCATAATTAGCTTGTATTATGTATAACGACCCATAAATACATTTGTGTTTACTTGTTCAAATTCACAGTGAATTTTTTCCGCCATTTTGTGATTCTCGTTGCTACGAGTGACGTCACTTACTCCTAGCTACCGCTGACCACTACACATAGTTTAAGAACCGATTCCACTGCGCATGCGATTTTATCCCGAATTTCTCACCTTTCTTTGATTAAGAACAAAAGAAGGTTTAGACAAAAGAAGGTAGAAATTCGGGATAAAATCGCATGCACAGTGGAATCGATTCTTAAACTGTGAAAAGGCTTATTAAGAAACAATTAAGAAACGGGTCCATATCTGTTCTTTCTCATGATATGTGTGGAAAAAGGGACCAATTATCGGTTCCCTATATCATTAGCCTCATACAAATATGAATTTCATTGCATTTTAGAGTATGTTAAATTATTGACCAGTATCATGGCCCGTACATACGGTGGCCCATAAGGGACATGCAAATTTTGCTACTYATTTTGGTTTATATTTTTCTTTCACATAATTAATATAAAAGAAAAATGAGATGCAGAACGAAAAAAATTCAAATTCCCTGAAAGAGTTGAATGATAAAAGTTCGCCGTTGCCAAAACGAAATTTCGGACTTTTGATATAAACATTCGAGTTGTTGCCAACACGCAGGCTAGAAACCCAGAGAACGTTGTTTATTTGTTTGTTTATGTACAGCCGGGCTCCCTGTGGTTAAAAACCAAGGCACACTGTGGTGTATGGCAGAGGCTATTTCGCGAGACTCAAAACGACATCCCGAAAATGACGTCACCTTCGTGTTCCCGACGGAATGATTGTCTCGATAGTGAAGCTACCGGAAATCATGCCATGTTGAAGTCGTGTTGAAG